ATTAATATTAAATCAAGTGTGTGTATTCATATTACGTTAAATTTTCATACTTTCTCCATTTAACTTGATCATTTCATGTGTTCATATATAAATTATGTGGCAACTACCAACATTTCATGAAATTCATAGTTTTTTAAATATGGTTTAAATATGTATGCTTTTATTAACAACCATTTAAATTAATATTAGTATAGCTTTGATCAACACAAATTTATTTTAATCGAATATTTTATATAAAAAAGATTGTGTAATTGCATATATAAATTAAAGTTTTTAACATTTTCTAGCAAAACTGGACAAGGAAATAGCAAAAAGTCAAGTTCTGTAATTTGTAATTGTTAAGTTCATAAATTATATGACTGTTTATTAATCCTTACTTTGCTTGATATTTACTGAAATATTTAATAAAATATGAAATATGATACTAACATTTTCTAAAATATAATTATTATGTAATGCTTAAAACAGAAGAAGAAATTTGTCTACAATAAAAGAACTTTCTAAGGATTCAGACATTTACTTAAGTTCAGACAGATATAACAACTTGTGTATTTGTGTATACAAGAGCGAAGGGGGAGAAGCAAGTAGAAATACGTTTTACTCCAAATGAAAGGTTTCTTCGAAACCAAAAATAATCACGACCGGGTTAGACGCGATAAAGGAAGTAATTGGAAACTGTATCTCAGTTTATGTGGGCTGGAGAATGGAAGCTATCAAGTCCGATATTAATAAATACTTCTTGTAGCGTATTTACGGTCCGATGGGCGTTCCATCAGAGATTCATTGCAGACTCAAAGCGGTCTTCTTATTGGTTTCTTCCATTGTGTATGTGTTGTGTATTTGGTATCATTGAATATCTCTCCACGAAATCGAACCCAAGAGCTATATCTACATTATCACATGCCACGACAAAACCAATATATTTTTAGCACTTAAATCGACATTCCATATATGGATAGAAAAAAATATATGTTATGGATGGAAATATGTTTTATATATTTGATATAACGCGTAGTAGCTGTTAAATAATATTTATTTTGTAAATAAAAAAATCACTGCGACAGCTAGAAAATTAATGATTTTGAAAAGTTATCTCCTAACACTTCTTACATCGCAATTAAGGTTTTAAAAACCAGTTTATTAAAAAAAAAAATTCGAAAACCGGGGGTATCCAGCTGCATAGCCGATTTTTGAGCTTTTAAAATATAAAAATGTTTCATGAAACAAACAAAAAAAGAGAACAAATTAAATCTTATTCTTTACTACAAAACGAGATGAAGATACGAATTACTATACAAATTAACAAGTTGAAATTGCTACGTGAATTGAAAATTGAAATTCTTAGAATTCTATGGTATTAAATCTTGTAAAGACACGAATTTAAGAGATTAAACAAACGGGAGTACTAACACTTCTTTATTTATGAAATACACAAGACGTCTGGATGTATAACGTATTTCTTCAACTAGCTTCAAAAAATGTGATGATAAAGTTATCAGGACAATTATTATCAACAATTGTATCCAAATAGGTCATCTTATTTGGACGAGGATGAAAAAATTCGGAAGAAGAAAATCAAGCCATAGCTTGCAAAATATACATCTTTTTTTTGAGCAATAGGTATGTAGACATTCTTTTTTTTAATCATATTTTCTAATATAAAATTAAATAGAAAAGTAATATTTTATAGTTATTTATTGCTATTCGTCTTTCTATGGAGGTTTTTAAAAAAATGATTATTGTATAAACCCTGATCGCAATAGACATATATTGTACATTCATACCTTGATAAATAAATAGGATGCGTTGGTCGAAATGGAGATAAGTCTCTTCCTAAAAAAGTGAAAACTATTATTATGAACAAAGAATTTGTATTAAATCAACAGTCAATGTACATATAATGTGAAATCACCATTAAAAATTTGAGTTTAAAAAGTATTATTTGTGCTTTTTTCGTCTTTATGTTAATGTTAATTGAGATTAATGATTGAGTCATCTGAATAACTTAATTTCTTGTTCTAATACAACTTATGCTTGAAATTGTGGGCTGTATAATCTGGGGTAACGTTAACCGAGGTATGACTGTATATTTATATAATAGTGTACACAGTAGTTGATATTTACTCCATATCATCAAAAAAGTATAATCACAGCTAAATATGTAATAAACATAAATTAAAACTAAGTTAAATTGAAAGGTTTTTTTTAATGAAATTTTAATTTAAAAATCAAATAATAAAAGTGCAGCAAAAGGTATGTTAATTTAACCGTCCTCTACTTTACAAATATAAATTTATTGCCATTTGAGCCGCCGCTCATTGCAACAATTTAATAATGCCGCCGCGGCGGAGTTGTGTGGATATTACGTTTTCATTAAATTTGCAGGGGACGAAATTAAAATATGGATAAACATTGTAGGTCTATAGGTTGGCTCTACCATATATATACACGTGCACATATATTAAACTATCTATCTCATGGCTTTGGCCCACACTGCGGGCGTTTTCATTAAATTTTAATAAAATCAATTTTAAACCTTAGCCCTTATCTTCTCTTATTAAAGACACATTCAATGTAAGCCAATTAAAATTAAATTTCGCTTCATTTTTTTCATTGCTAAAATATATATGTATGTGATTATAACAACAAATATTGAATAGCTTTAATTATTTCACACAAAACAATACTTAATTAATTTGCAGATATTCCGCTATAAAGGAAAATGGAATGTATGCATGATTATTAATTATCCAAATTGTTTTCGGAATTCCTAATTAAAATAATATTAATTAAATTCTCATACATTACATCGGAAAATTTTGATGAGCATGTTGTGTTTCACCGTGCGTACCTTTTTTGGCAAGAAATTACTGGTACGTGATTTGTATATGCATCTTTATTACAGCAAATAAAAAGAATATATACAGTCATACCTCAAATAACTCAACTCACTGAAAACATTGATAATTTATGGAAAGAAGTCACTAAGAAATGTTATTGTTTTAACAAATAAGTGAATATTGTGAAATTTTGTTTGTATTTTAAATTCTGTTTAGTCGTATTAAAATAAAACTGATTGTATAATTGCTTTGTTTTCAATTACTTTAGAATTTTGTTATTATTTAATTATATAATATAAAATAATTATTTTTATTAAAATGTAAATCTCTTCAATATAAATTTTATATAATAATAAATAATTCTGTTTATTTATTTGACTACGGTAAATATGATTTATTTTGCATTAAATTTTGAAACAATAGTAGAACGTATATATTTGAAATTTTCCATTGAATTTCAAATGATTTCGTTCAACTGCAATGGAATTAGTTTGGAAGAAATCCAAACTGTAATTATGTCTGGAAAAGTATCGTTCGAAATGGAATAAAACTGGAATCGGGTTTAAAAGTTTTAACATTTTATAACCATTCCCATATTGGTCTAATGTACACTTTTACGACGCTCCAGTCGAACGTACAGTAAATATAATTCCTTTTGAAAATAGCCCGAAACGGGACTCGAAGTGTTTCATATATAGATTGGAATTCTTGCGCGAGACTATATTTATAAAAGCCACATAAAATATCCGGAATATTTGCCGGGAGTGCGAATTTTAATCCTGGATGGGCGCAAAAATCACACCCAATTTCCTCGGCACACAACAGAGTATTAAATTACCCGCAACGGTTGCATCAGTTTGTGGCCGGAAAACGGCGATGAACGCAGGATCTGGAAGTGAAAATAGGACGAAAAAAAACACACATGTATACACAAACAAGAGAGAAAAAAGAGATAAACGTGTGGGGGAGGAAAAGCGAGCGAAGCCAGAAAAATCTATTTCGAAGCTACATTAAATTTACGATTGAGAACTGGAAAGTTTAAATGTATGTCTTTGGATTTATTCTTCTTTTTTCCAGTTCGAGAAAGAACGTGTTGTGTGTCATAGAATTTAATGCAAATACAAACACACGGGAATTAAAATAAGAAAAGGACGTTTTCAATTCAAATTTATGAGAATGCGTTTGTTTTTATTTCTGATGCGAGCACAACCAGATATGCCATGTGTTTTCCAATTGTCTGCTAAATGTAAGGAGTTTTAGCTCTGCAAGTACAAATTTATATGTTGCAGTTTCATAATTTCAAAAAATATTATTTATTATTTCAGCAACAGATGGTGCCTATTGGCTACTTAATCTTACACAACTTATGATAGTTAAGCAACGAGTGGAGCGGAAAATGGAACAACATTTATAGAATCTGTATTAAAAGGTAAACGAATTGCTAACGTCCAGACATAATGTAAATGCTCAAATAGTAATAAAAACGATAACTTATTGTATTTTTAGCCAAGAAAAGGAAAAACTTTAATTGAAAATAAATCATTATGTCAATTAAAATAGTTTATTCTAATTTATAGTAATAAATATCTGTTATACTCTAATCAGTTTTAGCTTATCTGGACTTTAATTGGTATTCTATTATTAATATAAAATTAATCAGGTTATTGAAAAAAGCGAACAATAACATTGATAATAATGCAGAAACAAAGCATAATTGCATTTCAGATGCAACTTATTTTAATATCGTTTTCTGCTGACAGAAACGACACGTAGAAAATTGAATTTGTTTGTTTAATTTTTCTTTAAAGTTTACTGAAGTTATGTTTGCTAACTTTCTACTTTTTTTTAGTCATTCATTTGTGAGAATTTACTTTCTCCCCTCCGGTTACTCAAAACTTTTCGGATGCGAAGAAAGTTTTGCCGGATTTTATCAATTCGACAATTTCGCGGGTTATCGCCTGGGAGATTCCAAAATCTGAACTTGATAAGTAGAAAGTGGGGGATTTTTATTTACTTGAATTGAGAGCAAGTGTTGGTTGTGATAAGATTAATTGATGATGCGTAACGTTAAAGTACATGTAGATTGGGAATATCGGTATGTATATAATGTTTCTTTTCTCAGCAGGAAATAAGTATGGAAAAGCCGATGCATTTTGTGGAGAGAGAGAAACCGGTATTATCGGATTACGTATATATGTGCTGGTGTTTTACGTTGAAGATATTCATTGAGTAAACATACTCCGTAGTGCAATGGTTAATTATTTGGTGATCCTCGCTCTATTCGGTGTGGCTTCGGCTCACCAATATGTTATAGACGATGTCCAGGTGCAAGCTTACTACCCCAGAGGTTTTCGAGTTAGTGTACCGGACAAAGATGGAATGCAACACTTTGCGTTCCATGGGAACCTCAATAAGAATATCAGAAATACGGAAATCGGAGAATTCAGTAAGGATATTTTAAAGCCAATCAATGGGAGATGGGTGTACGAGAATAGGATGATCAGGCTGAAGAAAGGTGATACGATTCGATATTGGCTTTACGTGCAACGCTCGAAATTAGGTTACAGAAAGGACAGCCAAGTATTCACGGTCAACGGTGAGTTCATTTTTCACAGTAATTGCATAAGAGCGAAAGGGTTTTCGGGAGGGCCGTGTTTTCTCGGAGTGGTTGAGCTTTATTGCCTTGCTCTCTCCTCGTATAAATCACCTGAGATATTTACATACTTGTGACACCGAGGTGCTAATGCCACGAAATTACACATGTTTTATTCATGGAACTTTAATTATGTCACCTATTCCTTGTGTATCGAAGTGGCGCGTGTCGCATTTACATCGATAATTAATTCTACCCCCGCTGAATCCGCGACGCCTCCGGCATCACCCGTCGCCGCCCCCAAAAGCTTCTGCCTTTTGGCGTCGAAAAAAAACTTTCCTTCGGCCTTTTCAATTATGTACGGCTATAACCGTGGAAAAAGGCAAATCGTTTTATGGGCATATCACGTTCGCGGAACTAAAAGCCCCTGAAACTCTATATTATTACGCGACATGTTATGTATCCCAAATTATCTGCAAATTTGTGCCTTTTGTCCACATTATGCGCATAATTTTCAAGGGGAACCGTGATGAATCCCTCAACGGTATTATTCATCATAATACCATTATTTTCATGTTTGCTATCACTTCATCAAAAAAATTATCTTATTTGAATTAATTTGCATCCTTGAAACGGTCGGTTTATTTCACCTTAAAAAGCTATATCTTTGAAGCGATTCGTTTTAATTTTTATAATGCGAAGCAATGTTATAAATGAAAGATTTAAGAGGGATTATGTTTGTGTTTGTGCAGAGTTGATTCATGATGAGATGCCGGAATTAATGGAGGATTTAGAGGTGAATAAGGGGCCGAATGAGGTTTGCTCGGAGAAAAAGGATCCCGAGAAGGCGGCGACTACCAAACAAATGGACGATCGTTTACAAATCTGCGAGGGCACCGTGCTCAAGTTAGCGCCGAAATTAATCAGCCTGGAGGAGGAATTGGAGTCGCTCAGAAAAACCAACGACCTTTTAACCGAAATTCTAGACGCCACTCAAAAAAAGTTGACCCTCAGGGCGAGAATATTCAACGAGGATGATCCCATTTCCATCGTCAAATTCATAATCTACGAGAAACTTGGACTGAAACCGCTCATTGCCTCTGCACAACGGAATAGCGACAACTCAATTACCTTCCAATTGGACAGAACTAGTGACATGATTAACGTTATTAAGGAAGCTAGAGAAAGGTTTAAACATTCAAAAATATTTTCAATTTCTATATAATTAGATCCATGATATATATTACCTATATTACCCAAAGTATTAAACAATTATTGTTCCTATAATATATGTTAAAAATAATTTATATTATTATAGATTATACTTTTATATTTCTTCAATAATTATAAGGCTTTAATAATTTAATGGTACAAGTAATAATTTTACTAGACTACAGTCGAAAGCTTTTTGTATATGATTTTTATTTAAATATTTGTACTTAGAGATTATTTATAAACGACTGAAAAATATAGTTTAGATAAAGATTTATTGTAGAAAATGGAATTAACGAATTTATTATTTTTAATGATTAAATCGTATTTTTTAATACAAACCTTTATATAAATGATTTAAAATACAAAGTTAAATGTGACTGCATAAAATGCATCCATAATATATTACAAAACTGGAACTAAAATTGTAACATATTTGCAAAATTCATATATAAAAGAAGAATACCTTAAAAATGGTTTGAATTTAAATTTGTGAGGTTATTATTTTAAAATCTCCAGTTACGTCGTCATATTTCAAAGTCCTGAACGAAACATGAACCCGAGAATCCTTCAACGGCACGGCATACGGAAATGTTGCTTCCACAAAATTAATAGTCTGAATAATAAAGTCATATTTATTATACTGAGATTACATTATGTACGTGTTGTATTTCCTGATGCACACTTAACATTCACAAATTATAGTTCTAATGTATGTAATTATCTATTCCATACAACAAGATAAAAAAAAATACGTACACTACACAAATAAGATGACTTTCAATAATCAATCATTTCAACACCGTTTTACTACGGAGTGATTCATAACCATGACGGAGGGAAATAATGCAATATGCATTACGTATTACCGTTAACAAGATATGGTTTTCTAAGAAGTTGATTCAGTTTGTAAACAACTTAGCTTAATGGCAATAACAATTATCGACTTAAAATTCGAAGTGGGAAGAACGTGGATGGAATCAACTAGAATATGAGTCAGTTGTTTAAATCCATCATAAAAATGATATTTACAATCTTATTCTATTGTATAATACTGATGGTGCAATAACAAAAATTATTACAAAATTTAATTTCTGTTCATTAATATTATTTCTTTAATCAAATATAAATTATTGTAAATCTAATAAACATTACATAATTATTATATAAGTAAAAAACCTCTTTCATCAATCAGTATAAAAATATCTATTTATATAGTAATAGTAAACATATATTTTGGTTTACCAATTGGGGTAACTGAACATAATAAGACGTAATTAACAATGTGTGTTAAGTAGAGAAATCTTGAAATGAATACTAGTCGTATAATAGACTTTCATCTTGTAAATGTGACAGCTGTCTATCATGTACATATAGGATCTAGGTGTGTCACGAAAAGGTGTAAAAACCTAATGTAAGTATAAGCGAGTAAGAAGACGTAAATAATCTCATGTCACCAGTATATCATAAAAAGAAATAGAAGAAAAAGAAATGGTTTAAGAAATTTATTTAAATGGATATTTATAAACTGTTTTAAATGTAACTTGAGTGTTTGAAAAAAAAGATGTATAGTTAATAATGATAATACAATAACTAAGTGTAATTAATCGAATTATATGATGTCTCAATGAAGCTGTGAACATATTTGAGAAAGCAATTAGTGATTTATTGTTAGAGCGAAAGGCAAGAAGATGATTATGCGTTGATAATGAATTAGATGAAAGGATCGTTTTGTTTTGTAGGATCCAGAGTAGTAGAGGAGAGAAGAGGCAATGCGTGAAGAGATAAATAAGAAGCCGTAGAGATATCGCGTTGTAATGGTGTTTTGCGTGGGTGGACCGTTTTGTAGTAAAGCCGCACAAATTATGCTCGGGGGTACATTGGAATTAATTCGCGCTTCGTCGGTAAGAAATGAGACAGTTCTTAAAATGAATGTGTTGTTGCCGAATGTAATTATTTGCTTTAATTGCTCAGACGTCAAGAGCAGCTTCGTTTCTTTCGGCCATCCGCAACGTCCCTGCAACCAACACACGCTCCTCTCTCACTCTCCTTTCCTTCTCTTCTCTCCCTATTTTTTTCTCTCTTCAGTATTTTCCACCCACTCTTCCTTCCTTTCACTCTCGCAAGACAAAGAGGCCATTAACAATTGCAGCTATTCGTTTTTTGTTTGATTAATTCACGAAGAAACAATTCGTCCTTATTTATCGCTGCGGGATTTTTATTTATTTGCTCGCTTTTGTCAATTACATTTAGATCTCGTGCGATGCGTCTTCTTAAATGGAAACAAGCCGCGATCGATTCCCGGTAACAAATCTTTCCTGATTCGATTAAGGCGAATGCCGGCTTTTAAAAAAGACCAAACAACAACTGCAAACACGCAGGAATAAATAAATCACCGGCTCTTCGGAAATGAACTTTTGACGAACGCGTTTTCTATTTCCTTCTTCTGCGGTGTTCCCTTTCCCCATTCGATTCTGTTTATGTGCATTCTACTATCAAACATGACTTGCTAAAACTAGGTTCCACTGAGGCTCATGATCCTCGAGACTTTGCACGTACTGCACCGCGATACAATTAAAAGTTTTGCTACAGGAAGCATAATGGGAGAGATCATAAAAAAGGATGGGTATAGAAGACTTTAATGATGCAACTGAAAACCGCGGTGTTAGATTTCGCATGTTTTCGGCTGAAAACTCGACTTGCTTCCATTATCCTTCCCGATCCTGGATCAAAGAGTTTCTTCGTATATGACATTCTCTTTTTTTTACTTTTCCATCTCTGCGAGAAGATGAATGGGTGTCGATGGAAAATTGAATTCCGCGGTTCATCGCTCCAATCTCTTTCTCGTCCCGACGCAATTTTTTACATCAATTTTTCCTCTCCTCTTCTACTTCTTTCGCGGAAAGCCGAAATCGTCCACTCCTCCAAAGTGATCGAAAATCAGAAGCAAATGAGTCTGTGGGGGAAAATCGCAACTCCTGCGGAAAGTCCTTATCGCTGCACTATTTTTTTTTTACACAATCGAATTTATTGCTTTATCTTCCCAATTCTCTTTGTCCTTCTTTCTATTTTTCTTCTTCTTTTCTTTATTTGAGATTTCCCCCTTTTTAATTAAACTTATCGTTATGAATTGCCGCTGGGGCTGAATCCGATTAAAACAGGAAACGTTTTTCATTTCCTCTAATTAGTCGCCAAAATCTTGACGCATATTTCCATATTTTGCTTTTAATTAGTGTTTCATTAATCCGTCTCAAAGAGATATTTATTATTAATTTAATTACGAAAATAATCTATTTATTTATTCAATTTCTATTTTCAGTAATTACAGATATAATAAGTAAATAATTTTCAATATCTAAAATATCACACATTTTCTCCAAAAAGATTGACGATTGTTTTAGACTATCAAATGATTATATAACTAAATTTATTAGTATTGCGCACTTTAAAAATACTCATACTTCCTCTGAAAATCTATATTTATGTGAACAATTATAGTGACAGTTTTACATAACTGATGTATCTATATTTATACGTACAACATAGCTAAATTGTATAAAATAATTTGAAGCTTGACATTTCACAATTAATTTCTGATCGACTTAGTTGTGACCTTGACCTAACATAATAATAACGTTGACCAACGTCATTGTGATGTGTCATACCGTTCAGAATGTTATCTCGCCTCTGGCTACTGGATCGTTCCAGTTTAGGATTATATTAACAAAGATATTTGCTGATATTTATATAATAATTGAATAATAAGAAATTACCAACATATTGTATTTTTTATAAATAAAGACAAAATAGGCACCATGAGATTTTCTTTTTTTCAAGCAAATATGAAACTAATAATATGATATGCTGTTAAATGCGGTAGATTTTTTCGTTGCGTACACCGTTTTAATTAAACTTCCCTAAAGTTTTGTTATCATATACACTTTTTTTCGTTGCTCTCTCGTTTAATAAAGGGGAGGCGTGTTACGGTTAGGGCATATATCAGATGGTGCAGCGCCGAAGAAAATGTAAACCGCATTTTCATTTTCCAAGAGAAAACACGTATATAAAACAACAATTTCCTTCACCCTCGGCGCAAAGAGCACTCTTCCCAGCTTTCCATCCTTTCCCATTTGCTGTGTGGATGTGTGTAGACTCACAAAGTGAATTAGCATAAACGGGATCATAATTTTCGCCCATTCATCCACAAAGAATACGGCCATCTCCTTTGTACTCTAGCCCATATTCCTTTTGTCTGTCGAAATTAAGTAATAGGGGGGTGTTTAGTGCGTGCTCCCTTGCTACAGCCCCGCATAAAACGAAAATGGCTGCAGGTTTTAGCAGAGGATTAAGAATGATCACTTTTTGGGCTCAACTAAATGAAATTTCCCTTTGATGTTCTCTTCAATAGTGGTCATGTAAAACTAACTTTATTTCAAAACAATCTTATGTTCTATAGTAATTAAATTGTAATACTTATTTACTATACATCAAATTACTTAGGAATCAAAAGCAAATCAGTAATATAATAATAGATTTGTCTGCAATTGTATGAAATTTTAACTTTAGTAGTACTCTGTACTTTATTATTTCTCTTTTTCAATTGTTGTTGAATTTAAAAGACTCTGTAATTCTAATGTTATTTTTTACACTTTTTATTCTCTTTCGATTCTCTTGCAAAATTTTAAAAGAAAAATATGTGTTCATTGAAAATCTAATTTATTTATGTTAAAGAGTTTGTAAAAAATATGTTTTCTTGAGTGAAAAGAGTAAATTAAAACATATAACACATGTAAAACATGTTTGAAAATGTGTAATTTATAAATTACGATATTTTCTTTCTAACGATGTGAAGTGTCCAAAGAAGGATAAAAGTTGAAATGTGTAAAATGTTCTACCGCCGCGCACACACATATTTTTCATGAAAAAAAAAATGGGAGCAAAGCCGAGACTTTGTTGCAAACCGCGTACGACATTTTGTTTATTTTATTAAAAATATTTCGCGTCCCGTCCAAAACCGACTCGCGCCATGTGCGGTTTTATT